GAGACTCTGCAGGACATTTCCCGGAGTTATAAACTGCCAATAATGCAGAAAGGCTGCTCAATTAAAACACAACCAGATAATTCTGGAAGTGTCTTTCTGTCATTTATTTTGCCTCTTCTCATTTCAGAGAAGTTGAGCGAGGTTTATCGGGGCCTTTCACACGACACTAAGATGAGTATTAATTTCCTGTTTGCCTCATTTCTGATGAAGAGGGCAAATCTGTGGATTATGTCGCCCTCTGACCTCCCTCTCCGCCTTCCTCCATCCTTCCTCCGTCTCCTCTCAGTTTGCCCCCTGTTTGACCCACTTGGACTCCCTCCTCCAGGGAGGCGTATGCGGGTCAAGTTGGATGTCAGGATGCACAAAAAGCATCTAGTCATCTGTGTTCAACCTTTCCAGGGGCTGATGAGTAATGACGTGTTTGTTCCACCCTGCAGTTTGTTCTTTTATTTGTTTTTAAACCGATGAAGATGATGCGCTGGTGGGTTGACTGTCGCTTTGGATGACTGATAAGATTGTGAAGATGTCAAATTATCATCCTGTAAAAGCTTCAATTAATGAGTTTGGTGATAAGATAAGAAACTCTTTAGATATATAGTTTTTGTTAAAAAGCAGTCTGGGGAAATCAGTGGGTGGTTGCTGATTCTGGTGCTTTGCAGAGACAAAGAGACAGTCATGAGAAGGCCAAAAACATACTTTTTTACTCAGTTAAGCAACTCCTGTTAATTGGTTTCATCCTACAGTGAGGAAAAGTTGCACTTAATAATGAATTACTCATGAGTAATGAAGATGGATGCACTTTTGAAAATAAAAGAATGACGAACTGTGCTGAGGAACATTTGGGTTTCATAAACAGGGCAGCTGCTGTGTGAGAGACAGGATCATTTACTGTAACCATTAAAAACATGTGGTGCTCAGTCCAGCGGTTCTATTCCTGTCACGCTCCCGATATTTTTGGATGGAGCTGTAACTATACGTCTCTCAGTTTCTTTCTTTCCCTTCATCCCTTTCTCTTTCTGGCTAAGCCTCCCTGGCTGGGCAGCTCTCCTCTGTAAGAGACATTACTTCCTGTATGATCTTAGTTTTTTTTTTTTCTTTTCTTTCTCTGCCTTTCTTCAGAGAGCCTGCCTGTCTTTTATCTGGCTCTGTCTGTATGCAGATGGATAACTAATTAAAGAAAAATAGAACTGAAGCAAAATAAGCGAAAATATTTAAAATTTTAATGTTCATTGTACCAGAGGGTAGTTTTGGAAGCCGGGGATTGGAGCCCAAGGACGTCCGCCTGATTTATAGCTGAGTTGCTGCCCAAAGTGGAGGAGTTTAAGCATCTCTGGGTCTGACTGGAGCAGGAGATTGGCAGATGGATTGGTGTACCGATCTGTTATGGTGACTTGAGAGCTGAGGGTGAATTTATGAATTTATGGTGTTATGGTGAATTTACTGAAATGTCCACTCCTGGGAATATTGTGGCATTGTGTTAGCACACACCTGAATGCTACTGACCTGCAAACTGCCAAAACTAATGCTTTTATAGAGATGCTCAGACTTATCAATCATCAGTACGCTTAACCTCTTAATTCTTAACCTCTGATGTTAGTAAGGGTTTACTTACTAAATCCAGGAGGTTCCTATGGAGCAGGGGTGGGCAACTCCAGGCCTCGGGGGCCGGTGTTCTGCAGGTTTTAGATATCACCCTGGGTCAACAGACCAGGCCTGTGGAGAATAAAATGTTGACATGTTGAGGAGGTAATTTAGCCATTTGAATCAGCTGTGTTGGATCAAGGACACATCTAAAACCTGCAGGACACCGGCCCTCGAGGCCTGGAGTTGCCCGCCCCTGCTATAGAGGAAGGACAAAGAGTCGTGTGAAAACTGTTTTCTGCTAGTTCCAGGTTCTTGGAAAGCAGCTGAATAATAAAGAGGACAGCCATAACAGGAACCTGTCCAGCAAGCAGACTGGTGGGAAATCACAAGGGCTGGGTTTTCAAAATAAGGGCGAGGAGATTATCCACTAGTAATCTGATTGCATATGGTGATGAACCATTAAAGACATTAGTGATGCACCGATACCGATACTGGTATCGGGTATCGGGGCCGATACCGATACTGGTATCGGGTATCGGGGCCGATACTGTAAAATGTGTGTGTACTCATACTCGTAAAAGTTAACCGATACCATGAACCGATACTAACTTATTTCATTAATCAGAGGGTGGCTTGTCATTTTTGTTATAGTTTTTTAGATTGGCCACTAGGGGGACATCCCGCGCTAAACAGTCACAGGGTTAGAAGAGTCAGACTGGCGGCTCCAGATAAAAAAAGAGAAACTGGAGGCTGCTGTAGCTAGGCTAAACAAAATGTCAGCAGTGTGGACCGGAACAGCCAACTTTAACTCAGGTTTTGGAAAAGCGATGAAAAATGTCAAGAGAAAATCCACAGGCAGTTTAAATAACAGAGGCTCTGACTCATTTTATCGCTCTGGATGACCAGCCAATGCCAGTCGTGGAAAACATAGGATTCTTCTCAGCATACTCAAGCTGCGATATGAAATTCCCAGCCGCCCACACATCAGGGAGATAATGGTGCCAAAACTTTCTAAAGAGGTAAAGACAAGCAGTGTGTGCGCGATGTCAGTCCTTGGTTTAACGGCACAGTGGACTGATGATCCACGGGCAGATGGGGAGTTCGTTTGTCAATGCGAAATACTTTCGTTATTTTGTTTGTTTGTTTACAATATGGACACTCTGCAACAATTTAAAAGTTTATTTTATTCTCAAACCTAATTTGTATTTATTTTATTCCAAACAGAAGTGTTTATTTATTATTCCGAAAGCTCGAGACAGTGCCAATAGTTCAGTGATATTTTGTAAAATTACAATGTGGAGACTCTGCAATAATTTAACAGAAGTGCTTATTTTTCACTTGAAATTCATTTGTGGTCATTTTTATTAAGATATTATTTATTATCGGCAGAGAATAAAATAAAACCTGTCTTCCAATTCATTGCATTTGTGTGTGTGCGTGTGTATGTGTGGTAGAAGTATCGGTTTTTGTACTCTGTATCGGCAAGTATTCAGATCCAAGTATCGGTATCGTATCGGTTTGAAAAAATTGGTATCGTTGCATCCCTAAAAGACATATAAACAAACATACAGAAATGAGTTTCCATATAATTGAAAGTATAAAGTCTTTGCGTGGGAAACACTGAAAGTTCACCTGTAACTCAGAAACTTTAACTATTTATAATAAAAATCTGCTGTCTGTACAATTTACATGTGGTTATAACCTTAAACTGCTAAAATAGCAGTATAGTTTTCAGCAAGCATTAGTAAATACATTTCCTACTCTGTGCATCAACTGAGCAGACGAATGAAAATGTCTTAAATTACAAGAGACCTTGTGGTTTAATTTAATAGCTAAAGGCTAAAGCTGATAAGTTGAGCATGACCACACAATTATGGGTTAATAGCATAAGCACAAAAAAATTACTGTCGAGCAAGACAACATTAATAACAGTGGCATTGTTCTGTCACTTGCAGAGTTGTTCTTTCTTTTT